ATCTAATGAAGTGATAAGTACCTATTCTAAAAACAGATTTGAATTTATCGTCAGGACTACTAGAGATCAACTTTCTCACATTTTTGATATTATCCCTCGAATTCCTGAAACATTGTCACGTTTAAATTGTTGAACATGTTAAAATCAAAATGTTGGAAAAACGATCYYAAGTAACCTAAACAAAAATTCAAATCTGTTTTCAGAATTCTTATCGCTTCATCATTATCAATCTGCAGTACCGTTTAGCAAAGAACRCGTCTAAAATCCTATGTAGTCACTCTTGTGTTCGACAAATACCGAATCCCGTTAATTCAAACTTATATACTTAATCGAAAAATCGAAATAGATGTGTACCTATATATTTTCTGTGTTCACAAAGGTACCCTCTACGTATTATGTAGAAATATGGCGTTTTTAGTGAAAATAAATGTTCATTGATACGTTATACTTTCGATATGAGTAGCAATTATTATGACAAAAATGTATAATAAAAGTCTGCGCTCTACCTGTGTAGTTTCATAATTGTTTCGATCCAACGTTGTTGAGTAATTGATTATTATGGGCATAGAAAACCTCGTTACCTATCCACCTACCATGTACCGATATTACAGTTATTAAAATTATTAATGCACCGTGTATAGTGTACACAGCATAGTATGTAACAATTTTTATAGGCAATCATAATAATATAACATACTCGGGTATCGGCGGTGTAATGTTATTGTTGTTATTATCATTGTTATTATGATATACGGTATCGATGGCTTCGTCATCGCTCTACAAATAACAGCGTATCATGTCCACATCATAATTCCATTTGCAATTATTATTATAATAACGTGTTATTACATATAATATAAATTATATTATTCGTCTGCACGACCGGCACCGTCTCTCTCTCTCTCTCGCGCATGGGTAATTTTTTTTTTATAATTTCCGATTCAGCGTTTTTTTTTTTTGCACATATCGCGATGTGGGTCAATAAATTATACGCCGGTACCTAAATATTGGTGGGTACCTGCTATCCTATAATATTATCATAGATACCTGTAGGTAAGTATTTACTGATATTACGATACGCACACATAATAACATCAAATCCACCATCGTAACGAAATATCGGGTGCTAATTTAAATATATTATATATATATATATGTACATAATAGGTATGATAATATTATTATACATGAACAAATATTATGTAGTTGCAAATAAGTAGGTGGGTATTGGTACCTACATAATATATAATAATACGATAAAGCGCCGGTTTTTATATTATGACGTGTGTTGACATATTATTATAATATCGTCGTTATATTATGTAAAACCGATAAAAGTGGTATATACCTATGTACCTACATAMAATTATAAAGCAGCATTGMATTCTTGTATTATGTTCAAAACATATTATTATAATATCGATAATACAATATTGCGTGTTAGGTTATTATATTAATTTATATATACTGTCTCCGACGGGGAGAGTTAAACGTCCGAACAACTGTGAATAATTCAAATTTTTTTAAATTATTGTTTCCTAAGTGTAATGTCACTGAGTGCCTACTAGTGTACTRCAGACATTGGGCAGTGTCGCTGGTAATTCTCAAAGAAAAACATTTTGATGTACCGACGAATAGTCTATTATAAATTTATAACTAAATCTTCACAATTTCACAATACTATCATTATTTTTACATTCATTTTATTTTCCATACATACGAACCCAAGAAAAATAAGTAAATGAATCATTCGTATGAATTAACTCTGTTTCAAGTATAAGTTATGTAGCGTTCACTTAAACAATGTTAAATGTATAAAGACTGTAGTTATCGTGGAACCAATTATTATACAACGAACAACATTTTTTGATTATTATAATATTAAACAATTTTATTAGACGATTTTCATATAAATGAAGACTGACGGAACGGATAAAGAGGAACGTACGTAGTGGTAATAGATATAAAACAATAATTACAGAAATGAAATGAATGAATTTGGATATGTGTCTAAACATTTAMATATTATCTCAAAATATATAATAAAATAAAAATAAAAAATAATAATAATAAAATAAACGACTACACAGAGTTCATCTAAAAATACACTAAATAATATTTATATAATATGCTAAATATTATGTATATTATTATATACGGCACATTTTTAAATATATTTACAAAATAAATACATTTTTACATTTTTATTCTCAYGCCTTTAGATTTGACCAAACATTAACATGTCATCATAGGTACGAATTAAGACACGTCTTAATAAGGTGAACAGAAAAAAAATAAAATAGTAGTAAATTTGAGCCTAACTAAAGCACGACAATATTTTATCGAAGATTCTTAACTCGATTTTTTTCTTTTTTAGCCTTTTTTTAACACAGATGTTTAATACAATTTTATTTATATATATTATATATGACATGCGACAATCTTTATTCGATCAAACGGCGTTGACGACGGGTAGCGGTGGAATGACGGTGGCCTTTGGTTTGATTAACATTTGAGCTTTCTTCAGAGTGTAATCCCATCCTCTCCAGCGGAACCACACGATACCTAAGACAACATCATAAAACACATTATATTTCACGCATCTTGTTTTGACCACAGTGGATTTGTTCATAATATTATTATCATTATTTTTTTATAAATCCGTTAATTAAAAAAAAAAAGCTCCACATAATGTGATATAGTCACACTCGTTCGTATATATAATATGCGTTTTTATTATTATGTACGTTATATTGTTAATTATTACGTGCGGATATAAGTGTGTGGAGGGGGAAAAAAGAATGCGTCATCCGACAATATTATGATATTGCACGAAAAGCATTTTATTTAGAACTAAGAAGCAGACAAATTCCTATACCCATTCATTATTTTATTAATACTGATGTAGTAGGCGTATTATTTAATTTTTTTATCTGATCGCAAAATGTATATGTTTTTTATAACGGTTATGATAAATAATTCCAGACCAGTGAACATCGGGGGTTGTGTGTGTGTGTGTGTGTGTGTGTGTGTAGATACAGCTAATATTCATTTCGCCGTAAATATTATGCGTTTTTAATTAGGTAATGAATATTATAAACTGTTATTATTACAGTGTTGGTTTTAACTTTTAACTGTAAAGGAAATGGCTTTAATTGATCATATTTCCACGCTTGTAAATTTCGACTAGTAAACAACTATGCCATGTTGCATCATATAACGGGATGTGCAATTTATTAGAACTATTGTTACTATCATTATTTTAAATACAATGCAGGTGTAGCATTATGCGTATGCAATGTATGCATACTAAAAAGTGCCTATTTCATAGATAACGTAAAAGTATAATATGCACACCCATTATTATTTATTATGTCTGCATTCGGCAAACGTAGAGAAATATCGAGAAGATACTTTGTGATTCGGTTGGACGTACGCGAATATATCTACATCACTGGTACAATAAATATTTCTAACACACAAGATTGCAACTGTTAGCGGTTGTACGTAGGAAAAAGTAAGCTGCTACGGGTTTCCGACCGGTGRATGGTTATGGTAATAAAAATAATTATATTTTTAAAACTGCAGCCGTTTTTTATTTTTTTTCCTAACAAATCTAAAAAATATTGTCCCCACATATCGACAATTTTTCGCAGCATCTACGGGGTGTCRCTCATTTACTCGGACTGTTTAATTAAAAAATGTTATGTAATAGCTCATCTCGGAAGCCTATCATGTGAATATGTGGTTAAAAAAAAAATTTCAAGATACCAAACTGGCTGTACTAACAGTTTCATTAAGGCATATAAGGGTAGAACAGGTACGGTTCTAGTTAAGGGTATGTGAATTACATGWACCCATTTAAATTTAAATAATGAATAGCTTAAATTAAGGAATAATGTTGATAGTTTTAAAGAGATATTTTAAAATTGACAAAGGTGATGTTATTGTGGTGGCTCRTCGTGGTTATTAAGCTGCMTATATCTTCCCCTTTTTGTTTACCTTGTCTGGCCGTTAAATCTTGTGGATCATTCAAATACAATCCATTGAGTCCTCTGCCACAAGACTTCCACCACCATCCTCCTTTTAACATCGATGCGCAGTTCAARCTCGATCTATCGTTGTCTCTGTAGAGAAATAAAGTAATAAAATAAAACGTCGTAGGTATATGATGGTACAGATGATTAATAACAATATTATGCAATCACAAACCTGTTGTATGTAGAGAATGGACTGTTGTTGCTTCCATACCACGGRTCATTCAGTGAATCTCCAGCGTTGCCCTCATATCCATCAATCTCTAACTTGTAGTATTCAGATTCCGAGTAAATTTTGAAATGTGAATATTGAGCGTATCTAAAAACAAAAACAAATCGGAAGACATTATTTTAACACACGATATAACCTACCGATTGGATTTAATATTTAGCAGTTTTTGTGTATAGGTACCAAAATTACATAATTTAAAACAAACAAAAAAACCATTGGAACAAATTGCGAAATTGCATTCGACAGAATAAATAGTTTTTTTAAACGGTTTTCTGTATTTATAAATTTTAACAACGATTAATGGTTTATAGTTGAACAAAATGTTACGCAATGATTTTTAAGTAGAATAATGTTGTCTATAGAGAGCCATATTATAAATGTATAAGTCTTATAAGCTTAAAGTATAAAAAAACAAAGTATTACCTTCTATTTCCTTCAAAATCTTCCAACTCAATTCTTAGCATATATTCGTCGTTACTRGTTAGCATATAAATGTTTTCGTTGCCCATCCAAAATTCTTTAGTGGGGTCACCAAATCCATTTTTATAATCGGTCCAGTCTCTATTAAAATTCTCACGTATGGGATCGCCAATGTCATCTCTTCTTTGTATGACCTACAATATAATTATAAATATAAGATAATGTGATTGTTATTAAATAATTAATAGAAGCTAACAACTAATAATGTTTTATGAAATAGTTAGTATATGAATAAAATACTCATGAGTATACAAATCGTACAATATGGCTATATTAATATTATATTATTAAATAAATTGATTTAAATGTTTTTAGTTTATACACATAGTAGATTTATCTATTGAGTTGTTGATTTTGTTGTTGTTTGATAAATAAATTAAGTTGAGATATATATTTTTTACAAGTTGTTAAAAAACAGATGACTATCTACARATCCATTAAAACTCGAAAACATCAACACAAAATCATGTACTTATTTTGTAGGTGGTTAAAAGAAAAAAATTAAACATTTTTGTATTTCCTGATTTATAACTATGATTATTTGATTTACAATTGTGCCAAGATAACACATCTTGATCATCTGACAAAATTCATAGTTATATTAGTTTGTAGTCTTTGTAGTTCTATAATTTACGATTTTGTAATTCTAACGTGTTAGATTTTTGACGTTAATTTTATAATTGGTTGTTTAAAACGTGCGCTAGAACTYGAGCATTCATGCGAATGCGATATACATAGCTACGCAATAACATAAATTGCATTTACGACCAATAATACAGACTAGATGAGCGTTCATTGGTTGTAAGCACTTGACGCGTGAACTGATTTATTATACTTTCTCGATTATATATTATTTATACACACTTTGAAGTAAAAAATAAAATGTTTGAATACAAATTTTGATTTATTACACTCCAACTATACATATAGCCATATAGGTACTACAGTCTGCACATTTATATATTCGTGGTGCATAATAAGGAAAAACAATTTACCCTACTATCCTTATTTCGACGATTATTTATAAACATTAAACAATTATTAACTTATTGAATATTTATAGCACGTAGACCATAATTGCAAATGCTTTTGATAAAAAATAAAAAAAATAAATATTTTAAACATATTATAATATATATTAATATAATAACTCAAATAATATGAGATACGCGTACACGAAATTAGGTGAAATATGCAAGGTGATTGTGTAGTGAATATTGTAATTATATTATGTAGGTACGTGAAATTAAACTAGTTGTAATTTGTCGAACATATATAGTAATACCACGGATTTATAATAATAATTTAATGTAATCAGATTTACGATGCATTATTACCCACTAAATAAATTATTCCAATAAATAAAATATGTATAATTACGCGCACATATCATGAATAATATATATAATATTACATCGCTCCCTGTTGCCAATGTCATTGATATTATAATTTATTATGATTGATATTATACGCACAATACAGGATGATTATTTCTTCACTAAACAGTCGCTTTTGCGATAAATTTATGTGTTTTTGAAAATATTTTTCTTACGTCATTTTTAAGTTATGATATCACACAACGTTAACGTTTTCAAAAAAAAAAAAAAAAAATACATTACGTTTAAATGTAAACTTGGTAATAATTGTTTATTGTAGTTACAAATATTTAAACTATTGATGAGCGGAGTGGAACACTGGCGAAGAGATACGCCGAAAAATATTCATTATATTCGACTTATTTACGTTGTAAAATACTCAGGTATAGTTCAGAATATTTGAGACATTTTTTTCCTCTTTTTTAACTAACAGCAGAAGATATTCTGTGTGAACAATACAACTCCTCTGCTGCCATGGTTTATTGATGTACCTACACATTCTGCAAAAATAATGCGATACAAATAGTAAACATATTATTACACATGACACATCGGGCGATCGCCACGAAATGCTACATCACGTTAAGTCTTAAATTATAAGTTATGACTTGGGTTAAAAAATAGTTCCTATACCTATTTTTCATTCAAATATACCTACAACTAGTTTTATATAATAACCAATAATTTGTAATAATATTATATATTTAAGGCGTAGGTATAATATTATACACTATAATATGTGTTCCTACAATTTACAAAAAATTATAATTAAATAATCCTTCAAAATGCAAAAAKATGTAACATTTTAATTTAAGTTAACTGATTCTAGGTATGTCATACAAGACGGATTTGTAACATGGTCTGCATTGTGCACTATATAAAAATCAAAAAATAGAACTAATTGCAATCAATTACTGGTTTGAGGTTTGATTATTACAGATCAAAAGTTTCTGAAAAATATTTCGCTTCGAAAATTAAGAATGTATGACGTCGTTTTAAAATTAAAAACTTTTAAACTTATATCTAAACAAAAAAAAACCACAAAAAGGCTGTTTAGTGGTGAAATAATCRCCAAGTGACGGAGGTATACCTACAGTCGACGTGACCACTGCGAGGATGACCTATTGGCCATTATACACCGATCTATCGATCGTTTTCGCTCAAATAATAACAATAACAACAACAACAAYTATAACTACCACTATACTGTCTACTACTACAATTATTACACACCGAGCTTCGTTAAACTTCGCGTCCGTGACCGCCACGGCCAAGACGTCGCGGTCTCTAACGCAAATGGACATACGACGACGAGACACGAAGGTTGTCTTTTGTATATGCCACTCGGCGATATCGGGCACCCGTTATTGTCTCACGTCGTAGATTAGGGATAATTACAGAGCAATTAAATAACGCAAAAAACGACGAAACGAATGACTGTACAGCAGCAATAGTATTACAAGTGCCACCTGTCTATATTATATTCGCACAACGAGCCGTTTGATATAATATATATATATTCGCACATACACCTACCTACCCGCAACTGCAAGGTTATAACAATAATATAATATACAAACGACGGTGAATTAATGTACAATAGTATAATATTATCGTGCATTATATATATATATATGTGTGTGTGTGTATATATAATATATATGCAAACTATACTGCTGTGCTTAGGTATACAGTAACTGCAGTGTGTCATGTCGAACTACATTTATTTTATTTTTATTTCGGTTTTTTTACTATTATTTTTTTTTTTTTGTTCACCTTTATACGCGTGCGGTGTACACTCGGCGTAACTTTCACGCTGCCGCCGAACGCTTTATAATATTATACCGAAGAGGCCTTGGACGACCACGGCGCGACGACGGATGTAATATAATATAACAATCGTGTTCGCGTTTTATATCAAAAGTCCCCAAACTGAGATTTGCGCTCGTGGCCGGCGCGTTACATCATGTTATTTTCGYCGGACACCGCGGTCGAGGTTGTCCGAAAAATTATTATAATGAGAAAATATTATTACTATTATTATTACTGCGCGAGTGTGTGGTGCCGTCCGCGGTACACTATAAAGCCGTATAGCCGTATGCCTATACGTCTGCTGCAGCTATTATTACCTACACGTCGACGTATTGTGAGTTGTACTCTATCGTTATCACATCACTATGCCGTGCCGCCGCCCCTAATATTATGCGCAACAATCACGATGACGGATACGGTCGTCACTATACATACGGTCTGTATGGCAACAATGATGCACGCTCGTGCGCTATTTATCGTCGTATAGCTGGTGTACTAGACAGTGTGTCGCTGCAGTTATTATCATCATTGTTCGCGTCGTTGTGCGCATGCGCGTGTTTCGTTAAATATGTCTTAGGAATAATGTCATTATGCTGCACCATGCACGAGTTCACGGAGGACGCGTGTCAACACTTACCGTCCAACCTCCGTCCGCAATCTCCTGTTCGCAGAACACCTTCAGGTACCAGTAGGCCGTACCCCGGATTTGCAAATAATACACGCCGGATTGCTTCATGCCTGCGTTCAAAAGGTCCAGACATGAAAATCCCTGAAAAATCAAAAAACAGAAACGATTAATATCATATATACCCTATATTGATTACACGGTGTACCTAATCAAAATCGACGACGCTCGGTCGTAGCTTATAGATTACTATCGTCGTGTCGAACTCAAATCGTCGACTTTAAACATAATGATATGTACACAATAACAATATKACTATATAATATGGTCGACATATAGCATCATATTGTATACTAATTATTATATAAAACAAATACAACGATCATATAGAGATTTATGAAATGACAGATTTAATTACTACTTAACACTTAACAAGAAATTATTYAACACGGCTTATATAATATTTCCTTGTTTGTACAATATGATTTGAATCGTTCGAATTTTTGTTGACGGCACGCGAAGTTTTTAAAAATTTAACTCGCGTGATGAATATAAAAACTGTAATTATTGTTTCTTGACATTTCATATAGTAGCGTGTTCAAGGAGAAAACTGTTCATTATTTTAAGGATTGAGATACAACATATTATAATATGTGTACCAGCTCAAACGTCGTCCGTTCGACTTTACATATAATCTATCCGCTTGATATAATATAAGTCAACGTTTTATTTTCCGAGAGAGTTTACCTGTCAAATTAACATAATCCATTACATCGATCAATTAACCGATGCCTGGTAGATAATCGAAAATATTAGGTAGGTATTCGTCGTTACACTATTATATACGTATTATGTTACGGTGGTTTTAAAATACGCGCCGGCCAACAGGCTGTGTATCTCAAATAATAATATTATTATACGCCCATAATTTATACATGATAATATTATAGTATTAGATTATTCTTTCACTATTGACTTTTGATCGTTTTCTCGCACGTTGYGATAAACAATTATGTATATATATATTTATTTTATGCAATAGTCGCGCTGGTTTTCAATACTCCTATTGTATCCTACATGGTAAGTAGCAACAAGTAGAGTAGTTGATCGTTTATTTTTATTTTTTAAACTGCTWACGAGAGCCTTGCTAGTAAACAAGCGACAGGGAATCCGAATGGCTGCAAGATGGCCGACTTCGTTATCACTATCAGTTACCACAGATTTTACTATCATTTCATTCTCAAAATAATATATTTCTTTCCCTCGCCTTATTTCTACCCAAGTTGTATTCTAAGTAGTGTGTTCAAAGTCTAATATACCAATTCCTAGTTTATTATACTAGAGTGACAGTAAAGTAACTGATTTCTTTATCTTATTTTAAATATTGAACGGGTAAAATGAACTCAGTAGATCAAATACTTCTGAAAATATTTGTGTTTGAATGAATGATTATCAAAAATGGATTTTTAATGATTGTTAAAAACTTGTCTGCTTAATTAAATGTATAATACTGTGAAAGTTTACACCACTACTTGAGTTTAAAATTTTAAATGTTTTATTCATCCCTTTTCTTGATGTACTAACCTGGAATATTGTTTTAATTGTATTTTTTAAACAATTTTTTTTTATGGTTTTCGTTAATTATATTATGGAGACCTATGGATGTCACTCTCGGGATATATTATGGATTTTTCTATGTATTAGGAAGGTTATAACTTATTAATAATTAACTGGAATATCATCATTTTTGATAATTATAAAATATGTATTGAAAAACTTGGAATTATAAACAATATAATATATATATATATTATTTTTAGAATAAAGTGATAATAAAATCTGTGATAACTGATAATGATAACTGAGTTGGCCATTTTGCAGCCATTCGGATTCCCTGCCACTAGACGCTTGTTGCGAGTACTAAGCTATACCTATTTCCGAGGCGGTGTAGGATCGATCAGCTGTAGCGAGCAAAAGCTGCGCCGACAAATATATAAAAATAATATTTTTGTATTACCGTAAACCTAGTACCTATGTGTATAGGGTAKACACAATGAAAAATTGAATACTTCATTTTTAGTGTCACGGAATGGATTATATCTGCAGTATAGCGATTCAAAACCCCGTAGGCCGATTGCGATCTGCAACACGCGATAATATAATAGGTGCCTATAATATAGCATTATATTATTATATTTTTATATTGTACCTCTCAATACAGTATAGACAGTATAGTAATATTGCACGCTAATACTGCAGTGGCACAATATAATACTTGTCGCGCACAGTTTTATCGTATCGGTCGTATCGCGCCATTTTCATCGCGCTTACCAGCTATATTATCCTATAAATCGTGTTCTAATATGCACACCGTCATCGCCATTATATATTATTATATAAACTTCGGATGACCCGTCTCCGTTTCGGATGCATATCATACATTATRTGGTGTTGTATACTATACAGGGTGATTCTTTTATCAAACAAAACTCATTATTTCAAAAACTATTGACTTTTTTGGGTGGTGTTTGTGTGTTATAGRTGAATGTTAGGTGGTATTTACACACAAACACCATATAAGTGTTGTTTGATAAAAGAATCACCCTGTATAAGTGTATACGAGTAGGCGGAATGGGAATCAGAGCAAATTCTAAGTCCGGCCTTCGGTGATTTCGTATACGTGTTCCCACGGAGCGCGTTTTCAATTATGCACACACGTGATATTGGAAATTATATACTTGATGATATACATGAAAAGTGTGTGTGTGTGTGTGTGTGTGTGTGTATGTGTGTCTATATGTGCGTGCGGTACAGGCAGCGTAAGTATAAAATAATAATTTTGAGTTTCTCACGGGCGGTGGAATTTTGGTTTTCTTATTTGTTTTTAAGTAATTATTTAATTTTTCAATGGCCTAAACCCAAATTCAACGAGTCCTGTTGTGGTGTGGTGGTGACTGCACATTTCAACATMATTTCGATTGTATTTTGTCGTTATCGTCATAATAACAATAAAGTGTATCTATATAATATGAAGATATATTCATTTGTACGTTCAACCTCCAAACGCATAATATGCAGACAGCATAGGTATCAGGGCTTTGATATAGAAAATCTAATGAACGTTGATTATTGAAAATATCACTGATAAATTATAATAATATATACTATATAGTGCCACCTACCTATATAATATAATATATTAAAGGAAACGCCAAATGGTTTGTTATTTTTCCTTGAACGTATCTACCCATAGGTCAAGATAAAGTTATATTATTCTGTCGTTCTATGCGTTGTTGTTTTTTTTTTAATATATATATATATATATATTTGGTAAAACAATATTTTTATACAATTTGTCTCGGTTCATTGAGCATTTTATTTAAAGATCGTGAGATCGTGACTCCCGTTTGACTGTTATTTTGTTGGTTCTCATTGATTGATTTGGTCATACTCATGCATATATTATTATTTTTTCGTCGTTCGTTAAATATGGAAATTTAAAATATAGTTATACAATAATAAATTCATTGATTATTATTTGAATAACAAGATAGAAGAAACGCAGTTTTAAAATACGTAMATTTAGCTCAACTACCTTTATATTATGAAAATAAACCTATAWTGTCTATCAAATATGGTTTGAATTTATAGGGGTTAGAACCTAGAAGGTTAGAAATAGATATACATTTATTTTACAATCAAATTATTTTAATCTGTAATTTTCACAAAGTAGCTCAAGGATCGGTTATAAGAATTAAAATACAATACAAAATTCGAAAATCCCATATTTTCATCCCTGCACTTATTATTATTATGTAGCCATATATTTTATCTTAAAAAAAAACAACAACGTAACATAATAACTTGTTACGTCGATCTAGTTTTATCTTATTACCGGTAATATATTTTGTCTCCGTTTGGGTTTGCCATCAATAATAATAATGGTCAAACAGAAAATGTATATGAATATTCGTTACCCTTAATTACGTTTACCTGTACCTCGAAATCTGTAGTGCATAGTGTTTTTATAAMAATATTTTATAGGTAATTCAAATTTCAAACTTCAAGGTAAAAATAATAACAATCGTTTATCTATTCACGCGTTGGACCACGGTGTTCAGCCGATTTCTACTACCCATAGTCTCATTGTTAAAACGTGTCTGTCAGGTATGATATAACACTCTTTTTCATTTTCGCAAGCTCAAGGACTGTATAAAAATTAAATGCAATTTAGTTGCATGAACACGGTTCAAAATCTATCGATTTAGTAACACATTCGTTGCGTTTTTTTTTTTTGCGACATATTATTATCACTTATTTTAAAATTATAATTGTCTAGTTTTCTACTGATTCCTATATAAAATATAATATCTTGTACCTATATATTATACCGAGTACTTATAAACTGTGTAACATTTTAAGCYGAGTATATTAGACCCTTCTATACATGCRATCACGATACGCTAAAATCGATATAGTTATTAATTTAATAYGATTATGATTGCTTTATGTACATAGAGAAACCTGTTCGATAAGCAGAATGTATTTAATGAAATAATATAGACTTCAACAACTTCTCAGCGAGAAACCTATTTTACGGAAACCACGTAAATTATGAGTTATAACGGTTGAAGTTTCACACGAAATAGTGTCATTATTCATTAATAATCACTAATATTAATTTATGAATTTCAAAAGATCATAAAAAGAAAAACCACTCTTCAAGTTTGAATATCTTAATATTTAGTTACTAATAAGTAATAATTTTATCAATCATAGAACTCGTTCTCTTTTTAATTATTTTATTTTCAAAAAATTATAATATACGATTTTGGATTTAGAGATCTAGTAAGTATTTATATGMATTTTTTACTTATAATTTCTCTCATAATATAATACACCTACCATAACATATATTTGAAACTGTATGTCTGCATCCTAATCAGATTTTTATTTAATGCGTGCGGCTTGTCAAAATCATTATCAATTAATCTGTGTAATTAATGTACGCCTTAATTTGAACAGTTTACAAATAAAGAGATACCTACCTAATAAAAAGTTGATTGTGAGTTGTGAACCGAAGAAAATATTACCGACTGTCAAGCTCGTGAAATATATTATTTAATACGTCCTGTTAAATTAACCGATGTTTAAAAACTACACGTCACTAAAATCAGATCTGAGATACAATACTCAGTAACCTATAATTTAAATTCCTGTTAAAGTTTAAAAAGTCTTTTATGCAACATAGTGATTTTTAAATAACGATTATTACATATTTTAATCTCTCGGKAAATCTTTTATGCAACGTGCGACACACACATTTTTAATGAGCAGTGTTAAAAAACTGATTAAAATATCGTTTTCTCGTTTGATTCATTATATCTACGTGTAATTCGTATCCTATTACAATGAAATGACGTGCATGTGTATTTAATTCAATAAAATGTTATTTGTTTGACCGCTACACTACAAAAGTATAGGTCTTATCTGATGATTTCTCTATATTTTTTACTCAGTTCCGTATGATCATAAATATTGATAAATACATATGAAACATTTAACTAATATAACTTATAAGTTATAAGTTTATAACCGTTTACACTGACTAATGGCTATTATTAGAATATATTATAAGGTTCACGTGATATATATAATATGGTTATTATGTTATAACCTATAAATTATAGGTAAACATTTWAAAAAATATAATTAATTGTGAACGTTTAACTATTTGTATATTACTATTATTATTTAACTATATTAAACAATTATTTAATTGAAAAGCGAAGGTAATTGTATTACACTGGTTATATAATTTTTAAATATTAGACTGGCTGGGTGTTATCAATGGATAACTTCCCAATCTTAATATTCACCGTCATTTTATATTCTCTTCTCTTTTTTTTATCAAATCTAATTATTGTACAAAAATTTGTATAGGTTGTAGATGTATTTTAAATAATAATAAAATAATAATAATAATAATAATAAAAATATTAAACTGCCGTGATACATGCAAGTTTCTATATTAACAATAGAAACTAATAAATTCTATTCGATGCTCCATTTGAAATAATGGAGTAAGGCTTTTTCCATTTTCCCCAGCTAGAGCAATAACCAGGTATTTAACTTCAAAATTCAAATTTATTATATAATAAATAGAACGCTGTGTGTCCTAAGCGAATGTAAAACGATTTATTTTATATTTAGATAGTTCATAATATGTTTCAAAATAAAAATGGAATATTTAATTTTGATTTAAGAATTTAACGACTATTTGATTATACTGCGTGTTTGTGTTATCGTTAATCAGTTATAYCTACCACGAACATTCATCCGATCAACTCATTCAAAATCGAATTAGATAAACGTTGTAATACAATATTATTGTGCATATAYGTATATTATTATAATATTATAGTTGTMTTAAACGTTTGTCGCCTACCGCAATGTTACGAAAAATGAAAACTCACTTTGACTTCGCGGTTGAACTGTTCGGTCAAGAAACTGATGTTAGCCGGTGGCGGTTTGTTCTTGACGCTCGGGAACACCACTCCTCTGTTCTTCTGGGGCGCGTTCCTGGACGTCTGAAACGACAGTTGGACGTCCGGGGGCGTACCTGGTGTAGGGCCACCGATACCGCCGATACCGCCGACACCGCTCCCGACACTGGTAGGGGTAGTAAATGACACGGAAGAGGAAAGCGGGGTGGACTCGGATTGCAGCTGTTCGTCGTACCGGGAGTAATCGTCGATGGTCGGGTCCAGGCGCAGCATCTCGGCGGGCACAGGTCGCTGGGCCAATGTTACCACGTCGTCTTCTTGTTTCTTCAGTCTGCGCTCCACTACGTCCAGATTGGCGATGATCTTGTTGGTGTTCATGCGCAGGTCATCGTGTATGTCGCTAATGGCCCGCTCCTGGCGCTGCGTCTGCGTCAGCARCTCGTCAGACTTGGGCACCAGATCATCTACCGAGCTCTTGGTACCGACCACCACATTCCACACCTCGTCCATTTTCTCACTGACGCTCAGTATTGGGTGCATCTGCCTTACCAGCTGGTCGATTTTGTTGATCCGCTCCGGCGCCGACGCCGGTGTGGTGGTCGTCGTTTTGTTGCCCGACCGACTGCTACCATGGTGGTGGTTATTGTTGTTATTGTTGTCCTGTTCAACAATGGCGCCGTGCACGTCCGACACCATGCTTATGATTTTGGTTAGCCCGTCCGATACCATGTTTATGTGAAACTGCAGCTTCCTGTCAATGTTGGCAGTGTTGCTCCGGATAGTGTCCATCTGCGTGTTGAGCAGCTTGGACACGTCCAAGTGGTGGACGTTCACGGGTTTTTTTTCRCTTGCCTCGGCATTGATATCGTCGGCGGGTGCCAGGAAATTGTTGTCCAATTGACTTTTTAGCCCGACCAACTTGGTGTCAATGTCGCCCACTTTGCGGTCTAAAGTTGTTAGTCTGGTCTCGAGATGATGACCGAGAGTACCAGGTTCTTTCTGGAACAGCTTGGTGTCCAACGATCGCAGCTTACCAATCACCGCTTCCGTCTTGTCGATGTTGTTGGTCACTCGTGAATCCAGTTGTTCTACTCGGCGCATGAGGTGCTCGACRGCTTTGTCCAAGTTTTCTATTCTCTGGAGTTTGGTCTCCAACGTGGAAACGATCACTTCAAATACGTTGAACAAGTACTGCTCCCTGAAACGAAATAATAACACACGCGTAAACGTCATTAAAAATGTATACACAAAAATCAATCTATTTCAAACATGCAATTTAATATTATGTTAAATTATTATAACATATACAAATAACAAATCCGAACCGAAATTCGTTTTCCTCACTGTACAAGTGTAYAACGATTTATATATGTAAGTATCATTGTTGAATATTATGTTGTGTATTCTTGTCCATAAGATTTTGGTACATTTTTAATTTTTAAATGCAAGTAATACATACGTCATGAATTCATAATATTGAAACGATTGTTTATATAATAATGTATTCGTTAAAATCAAAAACTCGTTCCTATTTCTTTTCGTGGCAATTTGGCGAAATATAAAAATATCCAACATTCATRATAAAAATATAWAAACTATTTCGAATCATAAGAATTAGCACGTATGACAGATTTTAAAATATTTTCAAAAGAGAAAATCTCCTTGACACCCAATGGTTTAAGAATAAAAAAAAAGGTCATTGTATGCCAAGACCTATCGACACCGTAGTACTGACACGTACGTTTGACAATTACACAACACAAATACATTGTGATACCAAAACTGTTTTCRTGTGTGGTTTCCATACGAGGAATAACCCAATTTGTGAAGCCTACCATAATACGTACCCTTTGATACGACCACGACACACTTACACGCACACACAAACACTCACACTCACGTGTCCAGTTTATATTATATTTATTCGCATTACACAAACACATTGAAATATTAGTATTAGTGTTGTATATCGATCATCTGTGCACGCACGGRCTGTGTTATGAATGGACGAGCATGGCAGCGGTATAATATGTATACCTACACAGTAAACCAGTTTTTAATTCGTTACAGTATATTCAACGAGTTAGATAACACAACGACGATTGCACTGGTGCACTTTTTACGACCTGCTGTGATATAATGCGATTTACGTCGTCTTCGGAACCGTAGTAAGCCTATCTGCCTATACCTACATAGGAAAGTACGAAACATTTCATTGAACTGAAAAATGTGATCAATCTTTAAAATATAGAACCATCTCGCGATCGTTCCATTGACGTTAAACCATTAAATAAATTGAATCTGGATGAAAGCACCCGAGATGAATTAAAGTCATATTTTTTTACACGCATTATTTATACATTGTTTCGTTATAATGRAAATATTATTACATTACAAAATAGATTTCCTTACATTTCCATGCTGTTGATGTTTTCGATAAACGTGAAGTCGTGAAATTCGTATTATAAACATAATTTGTTAATAAAATTACATATATCAATATCACAATGAAAATTATTTTCTATATTTACGAGCWCAAGAGAATATTATAATAATAATAACATAATAAATACATTGAAAACTTCAGATTGAAATAATTCAACAAGAATATTTTGATTACAAGAGCTAGTATTATATTACAAATTACAATATACAACTAATGTAATTTCTGGAGTATAAAATTGTCACCGTACCTTAAAAAAAGAAAGTTTAGATACTGAGTAACAAAAGAGAAAATTATAACGATGAAATGATTTATATATTTTTTAAATATTGATCATTGTTCTATTATGTTTGAGGGACATTTTAAAACTTTTAAAAACGATAATGTTTTAAATTCATTAATTTGTGCCTTATTGACATGTTTGTTTATCATGTTTATATTTCTATATTCTTATTAAGTATAATTACATTATTTCAATAATTTTTCATGGAACGAACATCAATAATACCAAGTATATTAAGTATACGTGAAAATTACACAACGGCTCAATCAGTATTCTACCAGTTCATAACATTGAGCCTATAAAGTATTCGTTCTATTTCGTTTGACTGTTTTCAAATACAATACATTTCTACAAGTTGCGGCGTTGTAGCAAAAAATAATTTAACTTTTAATATATATATTACCCGTATTTATGGTTTGTGATTCGTGTAATGCATTTCGTATATTTCTAACGGCTTTAGCAGGATGTTTTCGATTAAAATGATTATGGGTTTATATATTATGATACGTTTCCAATATCGTGGTTAGGAGATTCTGAATTTTAGAAACAGAATAACAAGCATTTGCTTTTTAGTTTCGTCGCGCCTCCCACGTAAATATTGTATTAATCGAACGCCCCTCGAGTAGATGGATATTTTATGATTTAAGTTTTTTTTTGTTTGCCTGTAATTTTCCAACTATTTCTAATCTATTTTCGCAGAGATATACTACTATAATAGTTACATTATAAATGTGTAGTATAATGTAAATTGTGTCATGCACTGAAAAATTATTTTCTCTCTCTCTCTCGTACGGAAGAAATTCCATTAAACTCGTTGATTTTCAATTTCTACAACGCCATCCTTCTTTTGTAGTACAAATTATAATATGTACATTATCATCATTCATCCGTTGTCTTTCTTAGCCCGCGAACGTCGTCATTTACTGCGTCCGAAACAGTTCATAGGCCGACCAATCCCAATTTCATCCGGAAATGCGGTATTCTCGTATAAGATGTAACGAAACAAACGTTTATATAATATAGCATAGGTATATAGTTTATCTGAATTCGTATCTGGCACGCACTTTACTACTTTAATACACGTAGGTACCTAATATGTATTATATACACGTTGTATGGGCGTAGGTACGTTATTTTGTCGCCGCCGAACATCTAAAGACTGAAATGCACCAGAAACGTAGGCGAAGTCACCTAATATATCCAGCGATGATGATAATATAATAATATAGGTACGCACGTGAGTCCGCCGCAATTATAGCACGTGGTGCGGCGGCATCGTCGCGGCAGGTGACCAGCGCGTTAAAGTCTCCCGGCGGACGCGCGCGGGCGCGTGTGTGGTAGATTTCGGCGAAAGAGTTCGGACTGGATGGCATAATAGCGCGCAAAACTGGTCTTTCCCCGGGGCGCACAGTCGTATAGTATAATAATAATAATAACATACATACATACATACCTCCACCCGTATATAATAATAATAATAATAATAAGACGCAACCCGATGGTCGGGCCGCGATAAGCCACGCGAGATATACTTTGCGTGCTGCAGCACATGCGGTGAATATCGTAACGGATAGGTGTATTATATATACATTAGGAGTAGTTATATATTTTATATTTAGATATATTATATATAAAATGTACTGTGGAAAAAAAATAATAAAATATTATTAGTAATAAAACGATCGTAAATACGAAATCCGACCGCGACTCCACCCGAACTCGTTCCATTATATCCACTATACATTGAGGTACTCGGCTCGCTTGTGTTATTATAATATCTGATGCAATTAATCCGTGTTTACATTTTGATAAATGATAATATTGCTCGCAAATCGCAGTGTTATAAACGCAGATAAAGTCGCACGTGCTGCTGTGCTTGAAGAGTCGCCGTTATCTATATTATTATATATTATAATATTGTCGCACTTGTCTATATGTGTTTTATTTTTATTGTTTTACAATGCAATACGCAAGCAGCGGCGTTAAATAATAGTTATTAATAACATGTTTGTGCAAATGGACATTTTATAAAATGATATTATAGCGACATACRTTTTGCAATTATTTTTCRATTATTCAAATCGAATATCGAAGACTATAAACACTGAAATTCTCAGTTCTACAGATTATATTTATGTTTCCTGCAGTTGTTATAAGTAGGCGCGAGTGGCGATCGCTCTTTAGCATATACCGTGCAAGTTCACAACTGAACATGTGAGAGGGAAAATCGTTTTTTACTGACTTAAAAGAATGCAGTGGTGTACAAAATTGAAAAATAAAAAGTATATAATAGTGAATAATTTTGGTATTCAAACGACAGTGGTGTGGTACGGTGGCATGCAGCTATCGTTACCATGGCGTTTTCGGAGTTATTATAATTTATATATTTTCACTTTGAAAATTTCGATAAACATAGAGTGATGAAATATTATATTAAATATATTCATTTAAGTATTTAACCTTTACGAAACGTGCCACCGTACATCATAAATATTCGTTAACGAGTGCGGTTACGTGCGTGTATTGTGATACCTACTCTATGTATAGTTTTCTCTCAAGAAATTACTACCTAGCGACTATATTATATATAGTTTACATCGTTGTTTTATTTCATGTGAATAACGAGCCGACTTTCGTTCAACTATCATCTAAAACATTTTTTTTAACTTTTACCTCGATACATTTATTATTATTAATTTATATTATAGCATAAAACAATATATTTTTAATATATATTTAATTTTAATTTTATAGAATAATTATATATAGGTCTTATATCATACCAATACTTTTTTGTCACGTATATGTGCCTTCTATAATTTTAAATKTTATGATATATGACACCATTGTTTTTTATATTCTATAAATATACTATAATATTTTTATGGGTACGACAAGGGCATAAATAATTAGATGACTATTTTTTTCAAAATACCTATGTATATATATTATATGTTATATATAAACGTGTTTTTATAATAATATAAATAATAAAGACACATATTATACGTGTTTGATTATTAAAACATATTAGAACAATAACGTATGAAATAATCCAGAATATTTTATTTACATTGTACTTATACGAAACCCAAATGTATTTATGTATATATTGAACATGAATCGACTGGAAAATTTCATTTCCAGATGTCAATAACCTGTTGTATTCCAGATTAATTTTCATTAAAACAATATAAAATATAATGTTTTTTTTAAGTGGTACTATAATGTATAGCAATAAGAGTCATTTCAATCATTTAAAATATAGCGAATTCGTCAGAAAATAAAATGTGGTTAAACTATTTATAAAATGTGAGGTCAATATGAGACATATTAGGTAGGTATTGCTACATAATCTCGATGTCCTAGCAAAAAGACAAGACATTTGCAAAAATGTATACCAATCACTCCAAGTGAAGTACCCATAATACTACAAAATTCATACATTTGTAAAGTAAAAACACTTACATAT